GCCTTCTCTACTTTGAACCTCCTCACATAGTCGCGAAGCGACTCCTTTGGGTTCTTCTTGACATTGAACAAATGATCAGACTTCTTTTTGATCGAGCGATAGGATGAATATTCTTTGGTGAAAACCAAAGAAAGTTCGTAGAAATTCCGGATGGATTGTGGCGGCAGGGTGTAGAACCAATCTTGCGCCTCGCCTTGTAGAGTGGTGGCGAATATCTTGCACATGAGCTCATCGTTGTTTCGATAAAGGATCATTGCGCTTCGGTAGTGCTTTAAGTGTCTCTCCGGGTCTTCATCCCCTTTGAAAGATGTGAAATGTGGCATGCTGAACTCTCGTGGAGGCTCTACCTGCTCGATCTCGTCCGTGAAGGGTGACCTGCTTATGTTGGTCATGTTCCGTCGTAGTGCTTCGTCGGTGACCTCGTTACGTTGGAAATCACGCAATCGCTTGGTCAAGAGTCTCTCTACTTCTTCCTGAATTTGCCTTTGTTGGGGTAGCGGAGCTCTCGGATGCCCCCATCCATGACTTGCTGGTCTAGGCTGCTCTTCCATGTGTTTGGCTCGTCTATGCCGCAGACGCAGTGCATGTGGTGCGTTCCTAACAGGCGAGCGAGTTCTTCGCAGGCTACTGGTTGAACTTGAGCTGGATTGAGTGACTACTTCTCTCCGTCCGTCGTGCTGCCTACTCTGATGTGAGGTGGATGATGCTCCTTGTGGGCTTAGCCACGAATGAACACTTTGTTCGGAAGGTTGTTCATGTTGACTATCAGAGTGTGACCCCAACCGTGAATGTATGCTCATCCGTGGGCCTAGTTGAGAGTACACGCTCCTCCGCGCGCTAACACGAGAGTATACGCTATCTCGGGGGCCCAATCGGGAATGTACAATGCCTGAACGTTCGGCTCGTGGCTGGTCGAATGGCTGCTTACCGGGACGCTGCTGGAAAGGTTCGTCTGCCCTTGTCCTACTTCGGGATACCTCGTCCGGGGCACGTTGGATCCCGATGCGTTGCAAAAGTTGATTCACCAAAGTTGCATGTTGTGCAAGGGCGTTCGTCAACTCTATGACTTGTCGAGACAAGTGTTGTTCGCCATTTGGATTGGAAGAGCTTGGAAGGAATGCGCCTCCTTGGGCAGTGGAAATGTGGTAGACTTCGGGCGCGAGATTTGAATTGGGAAATGTCAAATCCGCGAAAAAATGTGGTGAGAATGCCCCCAGTTCGATGGTAGGTCCGGATGGTTGAGATAGTCTTGGGTCGACTTGGGCTGCTTGGAAAACCACTGGAGCAGGATGGGCCGTGAGAGTGGGCTGCTCGTCGGGAGCAGGCTGGGTCACGAGAGCAAGCTGCTCGGCAGGAGCAGGTTAGGCCGTGAGAGTGGGCTGCTTGGCAGGAGCAGGCTGGGCCACCGGAGTGGGCTGCTCGACGAAAGCAGGCTGGGCCACGGGAGTGGGTTGCTCATTGGGAGCAGGCTGCTTGGCAGGAACAGGCTGGGCCACGGGAGTGGGCTTCTTGGCAGGAGCAGGCTGGGCCACCGGAGTGGGCTGCTCGACGAAAGCAGGCTGGGCCACGGGAGTGGGCTGCCCGTCGGGAGCAGGCTGGGTCACGAGAGCAGGCTGCTCGGCAGGAGCAGGTTGGGCCGTGAGAGTGGGTTGCTTGACGGGAGCAGGCTGCTCAATGCGCGGTGCATGTGAATGCGAGGCTTGGGCTTGGGTCCACGTAAACTTGGATGGCACGGCTTGGGCCGTGGTGAAGGCTCCATGGACCTCGCCACGAGTGGCTACCGAAGTAGCCACCGCGGTGGTTCCCATGGTGGCCGTGGTGAAGGCACCATGGACCTCACCGCGGGTGGCTACCGAGGTAGCCACCACGGTGGTTCCCATGGTAGAAGCTTGTGGTGATGATGCCGCTCCCCTTATTGTCGCATTTTGCCTCACGGATCTCCGGGCCGTGGTGAAGGCTCCATGGACCTCGCCACAAGTGGCTACTGAAGTAGCCACCGCGGTGGTTCCCATGGTGGCCGTGGTGAAGGCACCATGGACCTCGCCGCGGGTGGCTACCGAGGTAGCCACCACGGTGGTTCCCATGGTGGAAGCTCGTGATGATGATGCTGTTCCCCTTATTGTCGCATTTAGCCTCACGGATCTCCGCAATCCCATTTCTTGAACATTAGAATTTTCACTTGTGGAATTTTCTAAATTTCTAGCCATTATATTTTGCTTATACGTTTTATCAAAGAACCTTTGCAAGTAAAAAATTCTAATAATAAGAACGTATGAAAAATATTCAAATGGACTAGAAAATAAAGAAAAAACCTTTTTGTGCGAGAGTCTTCTACGAGTATGGATTTCAACTCTCAATGAAAGCACCAATTTGTGGATGCAAATTTTCTCCTCTTCGATCTTGGACGATTTTGCACCTACAAAACAACTAGCACCTTAGGTTAAGGCCAAAAGCCTCACGCGCCCATGATGAATGGGGGGGGCTTTGGCCGAAGAACCTCCGATGCCAAAGTTAGAATTTAGAGAGAAAGAGTGTTTAGAGAATTTTGGGATTTTTGCCAAAGTGTTGGAATTAGTGTTTGGTAGAAATGGGTGAATATTTATAGGACTAAGTTGGTCCATTTTTCCAAAGAAATGGCCGGCCACTTTGTCCATGTTTTTGGTGAATTTGTGGTTTAATTAGCCACTTTATTGGCTAATAAAATATGATAGAAATAAATGGGGGGTTATCAAATTGAATGATTAGCTTTATTTGGGTAATAAGATGGAGAAAGTCAAAAAGGTAAGGAACAAAAGGGAGGAAATGTGGCCGGCTACTAGGTGGGAATTTTAGGTTTGGCTAATTAAATATGAAAGGAAATATTTTAGTATTTATGGTATTGATTGGCTAATAAAAGGGAAGAAATGATGGGAAAAAGTAGAAAAAAGGTAATGGACTAGGTTTTGAATGAGATTTTTGCCAAAGTGTTGGAATTAGTGTTAGGTTTGAGTGGATGTTTCAAATTGATAATTAAGAGATTGATTGGGTAATTAATCCCTTAATTAATCAATTTTTTAGGAAACATGAAAGGATTATATTATTTAGCTAATTGATTAGCTAAATAATGGAATATAAAACATATAAAATAAATTAGGTTTTGGGAATTACCTTATAGAAAGGATTTGATGAAATAGGCTTTAAATCGTTACCTATTTTGAGCACTTTTAACTTGGTTGAAAGATAATTTCCTACTGCTTGCGCGTAGGAATCCCGGTATGCCTCGAGGGTATTTTGTCCTCTTTTGTCCAAAAGTCCACGTGTCACCTAGTGAATATTTTTGGCTCCACAACCACTCCAATGAAACCCGAAAGCATTATATCCTTGAACAGGACAGGAATATACAGTTGGTGGTGAGACCCATTTCAGGGTTTGGGGTGGAAAAATTGTGGCCTCAAAGTGCTGCCAATATTTTCTTCGACTTTTAGAAACAAAGTGCAGAGAGGTTGAGAAGGAATGTATGGTGCCAATACTCTCCTTAATTTCTTCTAGGTTCACGGAGGCTATTGATCAAAGTACATGTGGTTCTACAAAAAAACAGAAGAGTTCAAGAGATTGGAAAACATGAAATTTATATGTTAATAGTGTAATTTTGTTCATAATTTCATGGATAATTGTCCTCTCAAATAATATTACTTTCTAATGGCTTTATTTTCTTAAAAACATAATCATTTTCTTTATTATATATTGTTCGGAGACTCCTCCAGCATGAACAGAGATTCTCTTTTCAGCCATATTAGGCAAACCAATCCATTGCCATATCTCTTGCTGCTTTTGTGAAAAAAGTCCGCTTGAAATCCCCCTCAAATTTGTGCCCACATTGCCACATCCTATTTACTTTTTCTCTATAAATTGGATGATAGACAAGGATTTAAATATCGGTAATATCGAAAATATCGGTAGTCCGAAAACACGGAAATATCGATGGAAAATATCGGTATAATATCGATATCGATAAAAAATTACATGGAAACCACGAAAATTGTAAGAAAAAACTTGGAAATTTTTATTGAAACTTTGCAGGATGTTTATTTAGTCAATTATCTATTAATTTATCACAAAAAATTGGAAGGAAATGCATTGCATGATGGATTTAACATTATCAAGTTGATTATATAGCGAGCTGGCAAACATTGTGAGTGTAGAAAATATGTAGTAATTAATTAAAGAAGTTTAAACACACCATAATCATTTATATATAATGAATTAGTACAATATTTTACACTTTATACATTGCATGGAAAGATACATTAGTGACTTAGTACCACATAGAGTTCCTATGAGGTTCAAAATTTTCACCTTGGTGTTTTTTAAAATATAGAAATTTATCTTAGATAATAAATATTAGCTTGCAAACCTTGGAGACATCTTAATGACCATATAAGGCTAAATATGTAATCACAAACACATCTGTAACGAGTTGGATAAGGCCCAGGTACGTGGTTGACAAAGGAAGGGTTCAAATATAATCTGCTTGCTTAGTTAAAAAAAACAAAATATTATCTAAATAATTTATAATTTATATAACATATATATATATATATATAAAATATATCCTAAACTTTTAAAAATATAAATGGATGGCCTTCATTATTAAAAGTTAAAACCATGCACCTCTTTCACGTCACTTGTCTAAAAGTTTTAGACTAAAACCATCAAAGCCAATGGTTTTGTTTTTTTTAAGTCTCCCGTCCCACCACCAAGGTTTTCTCTCTCTCTCTCTCTCTCTCTCTCTCCCCGCACCGTCCCCTCCTCCTCCCTCATCTTCACAGATCTCTGTTCCTCTCTCTCTCCCCACATCACAGATCTATGTTCCTCTCTCTCTCCCCGCATCGTCTCCTCCTCCTCCCTCATCTTCACAGATCTCTGTTCCTCTCTCTCTCCCCGCACCGTCTCCTCCTCCTCCCTCATCTTCACAAATCTCCCCCTTCTCGATCCTTCTCTCTTCTTCTCTGAGGCCCTCGATCCTTCTCTCTTCTTCTCTGAGGCCTGACCTCTCTTCTCCCCCTTCTCCATTCGACCCACACACACACAGATCTCCCCCTTCTCCCACTCTCTCGATCCTTCGCCCACTCTCTCGATCCTTCGCTGCCGTTGATCGTGGCTCTGGCGAAGTCGGACTTGGCTCAGTCGTCTCTGGTGGTGCGCCGCTGAGCAAGGAGTTGGCCCAGTCATCGATTTTTCAGGTGAGATTCCATTGAAACGCTAAGTCCTAAACCGACATCACATATGTTGAATCGTTGATGCATGCGTGAAATTTGAAGCTTATATGTGAAATTGAAGTTAAAAATCGTGTTTTTGCAAGGTTTTTGGGACGAAATGGGCTCGGGAATAGGCACACCATCTCCGGCGTTCTTCTCCGGCGTTCGATATCGGAGGCCGATTGCACCGTTCAACAAAATATCTCGATATTTGGACGAAAACCACACGGATACCTATTTAAATATCCATTCCCCGAAAAATCGATATTATCGGCGATATTTCGCCGATAATATCGATATTTAAATCCATGATGATAGATAATAGATTGCTGATTGACTCCTTATATGGAATGATCGATTAATTGTCACACACATATTTAACAATAACTCATTAAATTCACCAAAAAAAAGTCCGCATGTATTATTAACATTGATGTTTGATTTGTTTGCAAGAAGAAACAACCCATTTCATTACAAGCTATCTTTTGAAATATGGGTACTAAATCCAGAATTTCTAGTCATTTGATGTGTACTTTAATTCAAATTCAATTTTTTTTAATATTTAATGTTTATTTTATTCTATGCCACCCATGAAATATTTGAATGTATTAGTATACACATTTTAATTCATTGATTTTGTTTAACCTCCCACAGTTATATCCTTATACATGTACCTAAATGAGAAAACGTTAAAAAATTAGTGACACATAAGAAATATGTAAATACATAAGTGTAATGAAAATATATTAAAATGCATTCATGTATATAAATGTCCGTTTTGACAAAATATATTTTCCTGATTGGCTAGATGAATGCCTTTTAAATTAAGGAAAACTAATGAAAAGGGCTTGAAAACTTTGAGTTTTAATGATAAGGACAAAATAAAGGGTAAAGTGAATAGTGCCATGATTGACTTTTTAGTGTAAAAATGTGGTTTTTCGTTAAAGTGAACAGTACCGGGTGCTTTTCGTTAAAGTTCCCTTTAAATTAACTATTACTTTGCTTCACACCTTTTCCTTTCTGGCCGTCTATAGCTCCTCATTTCGGCCATATTTGAACATATTATATGAAAAAATCAGTTTACCTAAGTGTCTAAACAAAATATATTACAATGAATGGAATAAAATTAAGATCAAATTTAATTAATACATTACAATTGGGAATAAAAGGAGAAATAAAACGTCAAAATATAATTAATAAAATGAGGTAATTAAATTAAATGTATCAAGAAACTAAAATTAAATTTTAATGTTACACAAAATTTTAGTTTGAAGGTCATCTTTTCCAAGAATTAGGATCTTTTGACATATCATGTGACAACCCGTCCCTAAAATTTCGTTTTTATTTATTTTAATCGAGAGAATTGACAAAAATGTCTAGAGGCAAGGATTTTGATTTCTGTTGATCATCGTCTAGAAGAGCGTTTGTGCAGATTCACGGTCGGATTTACGTTGTTCCAAGACCGCTCCGGTTTTGTGCATCAACATTTGGCGCCGTCTGTGGGAAACGATACGAAAAGTTGCGTCGGTTCTCTCTCAATTTTTCATCTCCACTGTGGATCTGCAAAACCTAGGAACCAAAACAAAAAAGAAACACCAAACCAAAAGCCCAGTCCCATTTCTCTATCTCTCTATAATTACACAGTTCCAAGTTCCAACAGTCCTACCAAATCTCCATCGCCAAAATATCTTCCCTGAATCCAAAAGCAAAGCTCAAAGACCTGAGCTTTCTCAGCTGATCCAATCCCTTAACCCGAACCCGGAAACCCATTGCGAAACATCAACTAATTTCCAAAAGGTTTCGATGCTAAAACCGCCATACCCAATTGCTCCAGTGAGCATCGTGGTCCTCGCGACACATCTACAAAACCTAAAAGCCTCCAACTAACTCTGGGCGGTCTCGCTTCCCCGACGACGATTGCGGTGAGAATCCCGTCGTAGAATGTCTCTGCGTCTATGTCGGCTTTGTCAGACTCGAAGACAACGATGCTCTCGCCTTTGGAGAGGACGTCGCCCTCAGATTTGACCCAGGAGACGATCTTTCCCTCGGTCACAATAGAGCTGAGAGCAGGCATAAAGATCTCCCTGATCTCTCTCCTTCCGACAAACTGGATTGATTCCCACCCCGCGATGACCTCAGATCTATCCCGAGCCCTGTTAAACTTTCCAGCGCAAGCATGTAAGACGTTGCCATGAGGCTCCAGCATGTAAGACGTCGCTGACGTTGTCGCTAGGAAGCTCCGGCGCAAGTGCCAGGTGGCCGGGACCGGAGGTCAGTGGTTTGCGGAGGTCAGTGGTATGCGGAGGTCAATGGTCTGCTATTAATGACGATTTGAGAAGCAGCAGGAGTCTAGCGCTGAGCCTGGGTTTGGGGTTGGGTCAACAGTGGAGGATAGGCCTTCTACTGATTTGGTTGATGGCGCAAAGGAAGAAAATAGAGAATAGAGGTGGTCAGAAGCACAAGCAACCAAAGAGCAGGCAGGAACTTCGAGTACTTCGCTGAGAACCCCGTCTCAAAGCAAAAAGAAAAAGAAAAATGGAAAGATCAATATCTTTTCGGGTTTTAGCTGCAATGGATCTTGTTCAGATAAGAAATCATTATCAACGGGAACCTGAAATTTGCCCAGTACTTGAGTTTGCCCGTGGAGTTTAAACCTGAAGTGCCCAGTAACAGAACACGTGAATCTGAACATGCTTTTGACCACGATAGCAAATGGTCATTGAGGTGGGGTTCTGAGGACAAAGAAATGGAGTGGGAGGCCACGTTCTTTACGTTATTTACATTTTTTACAGCTGGAGTACACCAGCTTGTGTTCAAACAGCAGAAACCAGGCCGAAAGAGAAAGGCAGTGGGGGACAAAGCAAAAGGAAAAGAGAAAGAAAAGGGAAAGTAAAAGCAAAAAGCAGGGACTAGATGAGGCAAGGTTCATGATGGACGCGAATCTGATTAAGGAGCTTCAGCATGATCAAAGTTGCTATCCCCGAAATGAAGAGATGGGAGGACCATAGACCCAGTAAGAGGTGATCTCCTCGACCACAACTCCAAACTCGCCATTGACAGTTGCTGCTCCGGCGTCTTCCACCTCGCCTCTCCCTGCATCGTCGATCAAATCCATGACCCGGAGAAGGAGCATCTGGACTCGGCGATCAAAGGAACGCTCAACGTTGGGTCAACAGTGTGGTGCTGACGTCATCCATGTCCCTCCAACGACGACCTATCCTCTGGTCCGTACGTCCTGGCGTCACTAGATGTTCCAGGAAAATGTTTTCTTTCGCTTCAAAAATTGAAGTTTCTCGGGACAGTGACAGAATTGGAAAAACCCAAGTGGTTAAACTGGAAAAGCAACCGACCTGCGATAAGGGTTTGGATTTGGATAGAAGATTGAGCGTTTTCGGTCAGAGAAACTGGAAATTAAATAATAGCATATCTTCCTCCGCACTCGCGGCTCCCGGAATTCATCAAGACGCTCAAGCTCTCAGCACATTTTTATGTGTCCAGATGATATTATGACGGGTCAAAAGAGGTCTGCAAGCGATGCTCATGACGAGTCAAAAGAGGTCTGCAAACAACGTCAAATGTTCAGACAGTCAACTGCTGTTCAAACCACTTGAAATGAAAAGCTGTCCATCAACAGAAAAGAAAAAGCAATGTCTGGAGAAAGCAAAATAAAAAATAAGATGCAGTGGGAGCAAAAGTAGAAAAGAAAAAGGAAAAGGAGGAAAGGGTCTGAAGAAGTTTGTGGAGATGGCATGCGCCAATTGCACACCAGTGAAGCAATCCAGCCACCATGTCACTAAGAAAGCAAAAGTAGAAAAGAAAAAGAAAAATGGAGGCTCTCCTCGAGAGCACATGGGGACAACGCAAAAGAAAAAGAAAAATGAGATCTTACTAAAGCCAAAGAAGATGCTCACACTTTCATCATGCATGTTCCTATTTTCTGAGAAAGCTACGGAAAGACCTAGAAGGAAGATAAAGGTTTCCTTACATTAAAGTGATGTAATTTATTTTTATTATCTTTCGGAGACATCTGTATAAACCCCATCAGAGGGTAATATATATAAACCCCATCAGGGTCAAAAAAAAAAAAAAAAAAAAAAAAAAAAAAAAAAAAAAAAAAGGAAAAGCCCAAAACAAATGGGCTGACATGTTGTGGAGGGCAAAGGCCCATAGGCCTGAAATAGCACCAACCAGGTCATCAAAATTACGCCCAATACTCAACAATTATTCGACAACCTGCCACTATTATCACCAACCAGGTGACCAAAGGTGATGAGATGTACAACCCGTACTCTAATTTGGCAACTAGTCATTCATGCCACCAACCAGGTGATGAAATGTACAATCCGTACTCTCCTTCATGCCACCAACCAGGTGATGAAATGTACAATCCGTACTCTCCTTCATGCCACCAACCAGGTGACCAAAAGTACGCCTAGTACTCCAAATTACACATGAGCATCACTCATGTCATTCATACATAAACATTCATGAGCATCACTCATGACAATCATACATAAACATTCATGACGATCGTTCATGTCAACATTCATGAGCATCACTCATGTTAACATTCATGAGCATCACTCATGACAACATCCATGAGCATCACTCATGTCAATCAACATAAACATTCATGAGCATCACTCATGTCAATCAGCTTCAAAAGCTTCATTTACAAAAGTTCCAGCTTCGAAAGCTTCATTTACAGAACTCTAGCTTCAAAGCTTCACTTGCAAAGCTTCACCTACAAAGCTTCAGTGCAGGGTATACAAATACCGCCCCCGAACAACCGCACTTCGGCCCATACATGGATTCAATTTGAAGTCTCCAGCCAACAGACTCTATTGACCGAAGACTTGAGGGACTACATTATGTACCATATATTGGGCCTCAACTGGGGCCTCATGAAAAATACAAAATACTTAGGGAACTCTAGCCCATCACTTATGTATTGAGGAGCGAGCCCTTATTTTATAAAAGGGACTTCCTCACTTTCATTAAAGAACACTCATGAAAAATACTTGGGGGATCTAGCCAATCACTTATGTATTGCGGAGCGAGCCCTTATTTTATAAAAGGGACTCCCTCACCTTCGTTAGAGAGTATCGCTGCCAGCTGAGCAACCGCCTCGCCATAAGCATCACTCCTAACTCATTATTCATGTACTAAGGAGCGAGCCCTTATTCTATAAAAGGGACTCCCTCACCTTCAAACACCACAAGCCGAGCCAACAAAGGCAACATAAGCTACAAGCAAAGCGGCCTCACAACATGTGCTACTTCTAGTTGAGCATCATTTCAGATTGAGCACTGCCTCATATCGAGCATCAGTTCAAGACAGTATCTAGTTACTTCGGCCCACACATGGACTGAATTTCAAGTCTCCAGCCAAAAGACTCTCTTGACTGAAGACTTGGGGGACTACTGTTTATACCATATTTAGGGCCTCCGTATTTAGACCTCGTATAAATACTCGGGGGACTCAAATGTAATTATGCAATAAGGGAAGGGGCAAATATATAATAAGTGAGGAGTCCTTATTCTATAAAAGGACTCCTCA